TTCAGTTTGTGCATCTTGGAAATGGCAAGACCTGCTTTTAAAGACGGACTAACCAACGGTGCCCTGGTTAAAAAGCTGCATTATGTAACATTTAATCAGGACGATATAAAAAGGAAATTTTCTGGTCATTTCTTTACAAAGTAAGTTGAGTACAGTCTCCATTGCCAATACAGTAAGTGCCATTCAGGAGTAGGTGCCAAAACATGACGCTTTATGAGTATGTTTAAAAACTAGAAATACAACTATCAGCCATGTTTGTTTACATTTTGGTAGTTTCTGGTGGCACCACAAACTGCGTGCTCCTCGTGTGGGTTTAGTGCCAATCATAAAGAATAATTGCACAAAGATGTTGAAAACAGGAAGTATATTACATTGACATGAATACTTTTTAAACAAAATATTTTAATCACATATTTTTGTTACATAGTGACACTTTAAATGGCTCAGTCAGGGCATAACTTATCCGGTTCCAGCCGCACAGCCATTAGTAAGTGTTGTTATTTATACATATTGCTTGGCAACAATGTGAATTAGGTACTTGTCACAAAAGGGTAGGAGGCAGCCTTGCGTACAATAAGTATAGAGACATTATAACGTAGGTAGTGTTTTGTTGTACCTATTAAGGCCACAGCAAGTACATTTTATGGATGACATCCTCCGCAGACTCCAAATCTAATGCGAGCGGGCAAGAAAAAACAAGGCAGGGTCCCTACATTTAAAAATTTTTGACTCCATCATTGTAAAATGGTTTTGATTCAGTGGGAACATCACATACATACTGTATACACAGCCAGCATCACATATCACTGCATCAAAGTATGAAACAAAACATTAAATCAGAGCCTTTTCTTGTCTCTTCTCTTCATAGTTATCTGCCATCCACCTTCCGACATGGCAACAGACATCTTTGCCCATTTTTGGCATGTTGACCACTGTCAGAAGGCAACAAAATTTCATGTTTTTTTTCCCCAAAATCAGGCAAAAATATATGCGCGCGCTGATGTCATCCATAAATATTACTTGCTGTGGCCTAACCAGGATAAACCATGATGCTGGGTGGGTAGAAAAATATGCACAGTTCCATTTTTAAGAATTCACTCGATAATCATAATGTTTTGGTTACCTGTATTTTGCATGGACATCAATAAACCAAAACCTTCTTCGTTTAGTGGTCATTATTCTGTACTATCCATCTTGTATATCTGCTGATCTGTTTTAGAACTGAAATTTTGGAACTGTTTTGGAACAGAATTAGTCTCTGCCACTGAACAAACACAGCATATAAAGGTTATATATGCTGATGGCTTTGCATGGGACATCCTTTGCCTGTATACAAGACGATCACTTTCCCTTTCTGGTTTTTACGTCAACCAACTCTTCAATCATGGATTTAAACAATAATAGACAAGGCTCAAGAGGTTATACTTAAATGTATCCAATGCAATTTCAGGGTAGCAAAATTGGAAATATTCTAAATACTGCAATCTGTATGATATTGACACATACTGTCCCACATTAGCAAATTTGCATCAATATTCCATATTCAGAGCATTTAAAACTGCCTGAGAAACAAGTCCCAAAATGAATCCTACATTTTCTGGTTCGTGTCAAAAAAAACGGCCCAGGATCCTACCAGTAACTAAGTTTCAGCATCACAACTTTTGGCAATTTTGCTCCATGAATATTAATATACATTGTGATAGTATTGTTTCAACTTAGGTTATGAATGTAAGTGACTCATTTCTCATAAGTATGGTTGGTGAGCCCACAAGGTACACACCCAATTTGTGGTGCCACCACAAACTACCAGAATGTAAACAAACATGGCCGGAAGCTGTGTTTCAAGCTTTTCAATACACTCGTAAAGCACCTAAATATACATATTTTGACACCTCCACTTTCTGAATGGCACTTATGTTGATTGAACTTACTTTGTGATAGAATGGTAGAAAAATTTACATTTTGTATCGTCTTAATGTTACGTAATGCAGCTTTAAAGTTATGCATCACAAGAATCTGCATCTTCACACAGTGATATCAATACAAGTGTAGAATGAGAAAACAGGTGCCTACCTCCTCCAGTTGGTGTCCGGTGGAGATAAATAATGGACTCCTCCATACCGAGGGCTGTCCATGTGATCAGGTGTTAAGGTGTCAACATATCAAGCTTCAACGATAAACACAGCATAACATATCGCGCTCTATGATTAAAAGAGAATGTAATGAAAAGCAATAGCTAGGCATAAGCAAGTGAACATTCAATACAGTTCTTTTCATAACAACATTTCTACTGTTACCTTTGTATGGTGGGATGATATGCCTAGAGCAGCCACCTACAGTCAAATCTCAAATACATACATATAAATGTACTGTAAATTGACTTAACTTCACTTGTAGAGCTTGAAATACCCATATGAATATGCAGGCTAGTGCAGGTAAAATTGGAGCTGTGCAGGTATTTCTGATGTCTACGTGTACCTAACCTGCACTGGTCCAAGTTTACATACAGATACAAATGTACATGGATTTTCTTTTGTTGAATTGACTGTTATTACAAATGAATACTGTATAAAGTACAGAAATAAACGGTTTCTAAACTGTTTTTTGTATGATCCTACATTCTAAATGATGAAGGTAACATTTGCCTGCAGCTAGAGCTGCGTACCGGTTCACTGGACTTGGATCCGGACTTGTAAGAATGTTTACGTTCAAGTCCAAAAAAACCTAAAAGTCAAGAACTAAGTCCGGACTTATTACCATAAAAGACCATTTCACATACCCCTTTTATTTCCAAACCACCTAAAACCTTCTGTAGATTGCAAAATCTTTGCTGCAAAATGAAGAAAACATTGCCATCGGGCATTGTCAAGTACCGGCCGCCATGTTAAGTTTCACCCAGACAACATCGCAAGGTTGGGAACATGCAATTTTGTATATGTCATGGGTTTAGGTCCAGACTTACAAGTCCAGAACTGAACCTAAACCTCTGGACTTGAATCCGGACCTGAACCTAAATTTGGGTTTAGGTATGCAGCACTACCTGGAGCGCAAAAAAAAGGAATTTCGAGCCCTGTCATCACAGCACCCAAAATTCACAGCTTGCCAAAAACCAAGGATTTGCAGTTGAAACAATAGTGCTTAGTGGCAACACAGTAAAAATGCCAGGCATCTTAATGAGATTGATGAGTTAAACAGCAAAACCTGTGTATCAAAGAACATTTTGAACATCATTACTAATACTAGGTGTACATTAACTAGTACAAACTATTCTCAATGTGTAAAAACGGTTAAACTGGTTCACTCCCTAACAGTTGGCAGCATAACAATGCAAGACTTAATAATATTTAGCTGTACGTTAAGAAAGATACCATGTATATGTAATCTGGCATACATGGTCATTTATGATTTGGATACTGAAGCAAAAGTCAGCTATATGCTGAAACTGATATTTGTGAGAAAGCCTAAAGCCTATCTGTTAATAACACAGAACATACGCAACCGATTTAATACGAACATTGAAGAGTTGTCAGTGCTATCAGACAGTCTGACAATCAAATCACACAAAGTATGAAACTTTGGGCAGATAGTGTGTTATCAAGTTCATGTAACACAACTACATCAGATATGGATTGATACAAGAGACGGGAATAGTCATCCATCAAATGGAAATTTCATCAGTCAGCTTATACTTTGGCAGGAAATAGGAATAACAGGATATCCAACAGGATTGTCATGTTCAGGTTCAATTCTGCAACATCATAGTGACTAAAGCTGTGAGTGGAGAATTCATCCTGTCACTGCGTACTGAGAGCTTAGTAGATTTTATATTGTTATACTCTAATCAGTTATGATGCTGAAAGGAGGCTTTGGCAATTTTTGACAAAGCATGATCTTACAAGCTAACATTTCATACAGTCTGACAGCACAATTTTAATTATTCAAACTGAAGTTTGTGACAAAAGGACTTGTAGCTACGGGCAATCTCTGTTGTACTAAAGCGCCTGTGTGGACACTCTCCAAATCTCCATTTGTTTTATGGCACAGAAGACAGCAGGTGGCATCTTAAGAACTGCAAAGTCCCTCTCAAATGTGCCTTTCAGATTTCTGGGAAACCATTTGGTATAAAGATGTACCAGGTGCAAGAAATCCGTGTTATCTGATCTGGATTTTTATTGTCTGAAGTCTTGGCTGTACTGGCAGCGTTTTCGTGACAACCTTAAGCTTGTGTTTTGTTTCTATGATTGCATGTCAGAATACCCATTTCATTTTTTCTCCACCCTAACAATCCTGATAAGGTCTTCCTAGGTTCCTGATTTTGCCTGGTAAACAGTATAAAAGTGTCTGTTTCAACACTATCAGCTTAATTCTAGCTTTTGCAAGGAACATGGTAGTTGACAATTTTTGTTAAGGTATCCAATGCAATTTCAGAGCAGTGAAACAAACAATACTAAGTATTCTGGATGAGGAAAGCTGTCTGATATTCACATTTACAGCAGTTTCTTAGCATACTTTTGGCATCAATTCATATTCCAAGTGTTTGAGATATCCCAAAAACAAGCACGGCCAAAAACAAAACCAGCCTGCGATATGAAACAAGCAATCATTTGTCATCAGCGACGTCACATTTTTCCTTACAGATATCAGGATGCTATGGATAGGGTTGCTTCTACTTAGGCCACACCGATTTCATTTTATGGATGACATCTTCTGAAGACCCCCAAACTAGTGCGCACGGGCGAATAAAAAAAATTCCGGCCAAAAATAAAAATGATAGTAAAACACAAGAATTCAAAGCTGGTATTGTGAATTCTTGACAGTACTTAGCGACGTATATGACAAGACGGCACATGCTGGCACGTACTGAGTTCTTGAGTCGTGGAGCTTTGAATTCGATAGCCTGGGTGCTCAGCTCCATTTTGTCGCTAACTACCATGGACTACCCATGCCTAGAGCCAGGCCAGAGCCTCGGTGGAGGTGATCTTTTTTTGTTTTGAGGGCGACAGTCGAAAATCAATGCGCGCGGATGTCATCCATAAAATTAAGTTGGTGTGGCCTTACTACATGTATGTTTAAAAAAATTATCACAAAATTGACTTTTAAAAGTAACTTTTAAGGCCCCGAAATTGCTTTGGATGGCTTTAACAAGACATACTAAAGGTTGAATAAGTAGAGGAGTTACCTTAATGGTAAGGCTACCTTACATAATGGTAAGGCTATACATCATAAATCTATGCTGTACACTCATCTACACAGATGTAGTGTACGTACTGAGGTTTTTCCATGAAAAATGATAAAGCAAATACTCAAGCCAGTGAGTGACTAACCAAGATCATTGGGATACAAAACAGTAAGTGGGATCTACATGTACATGCAAAATTGGGTGGGATGATGGTGTTTGCCGTTGGATTTGTATCAGGTGTATTTATTTTCATGGAGAAATGACACTGATTTACTGAATTCAATATACTCATAATACTGTAACAGCATAAATTCCTCATCCAAATTTTGGCAGTAGTGAAGTTTAGTCATCAACAAGAAAATATCACGACACAAGGTAACTACTCTACTATCCAGTTTGAAAAAAACTATAGACATAAAAACATGAGAATATATCTTGACAACCATATGGCATTAATTTAGCATAACAGGCTTTAATGTAACTAACTCCATTACTGCCATAGCTAGAGGTAAATCTATTTCAATGTTCTCTTTCAAGACTTATTTCTTTCATCCAATCTTTGCCACGAGATAATGAACTCCCCTGACAACAGTTCCGTTGATACAAGAACTACATAATAATCCAGGTACAGGAAAGGCAATGATGGGAAGTTATCTCTGAGGCAACACCAATTTAATTTCTTGGTTAATGGATTTTTCTAGAAAAATAATGGAGCGGGTGGGCAAAAAAAAAAACAGGCCTAGGCATCCTATCATGGCCCCAAATGGTACGATAGGAGCCATGAAGTCAACACACCAGGCTGGTTCAAAATTTAAACAATGAATTTTGAACTTCTAATGATACCACTGCATTGAAAGATGGAATAACTAACAACTAGGAAGAAAAGGACTGTTTTCAACTGTTCTGGGCAAAGTATGAGCATTTTGCAGTTGACCCGGATTCTGATTTTTTTTTTTTTTGCAAATCAGAAAAAAATGAAGCGGGCAGATCCGTTAACCAAGAAATTAAATTGTGCTGTATGCAATTTTGCACCTTGCCTGACACATGCCTACAGTGAGAGGCATATCAGTCCTTGTTAAAGCAGGGCTCGAAATACTTTTTCTGCAGACCAGCACTGGTGCAGCTAACATTGAAAATTACCTGCGCCAGACAAATTTTACCTGAACCACTTAGACTGTATTAAGTATAATACTAATAATTGTTCAAAAAGTATTACCATTATTGCTTTTATACTTCATGGGTTGTCACAGTCAATACAGCATATAAAAATCTACATACACTGTACACCTAGATGTATAATATAAAGCTGGTACATGCCATAACATGGACCAGTACAGGCTAGGTGCAGGCAGACATCAGAAATACCTGCACAGCCCCAATTTTACCAGTAACAGGGTTGGACAAGTTTTAAAAAATCCATTTGCCCTATTGGGCAAGTACATGGACATCTCCACTTGCCCGAACCAACTTTTCACTTGCCCAAAATAAACGACATTTTTATATGCATTTTCACTACCAGCAAGAAAACTATTTTCATTTTAGAGTTATCAAAATAAGGTGGTTTGAGACTTAATATAATATCATTATGGCCAAATCATGAGTAATTTTGCTCCAAACACCATAGCGGATATACTTCGCATCCCAAAAATTTACTTTCCCAATCGGGCAAGTACAGGGGGATATTTACTTGCCCGAACAGTACTTTTACTTGCCCTGGGCAAGTGGGCAATAGGACTTGTGCAACCCTGAGTAACCTGCACTACGGTGCATATGCACCGAATATTTCATGCCTTGCATAACATTGCTAATTGTTAATATAAAATATATTGTATAATTGTCATTATACAATATCGTCTTTATTTCTTTTGGCCTTGTAGTAGTTCTATCTGCTGTCAGGGTCTGCTGTTATGTCCATGTAATTTGCATGTCAGTGTACTCTTGTGGGTTTGTTAATTA